GGCGCATCGCAGCCTCGGGGCTCCTTTCCTACTGTTAGCAAAAGGAATGCTTGTATTTGCCGCCAACCAGCAAGTTGAGCGCGAGTTTAGAAGGTGCGGGTTGATATGTGGCGCAGGGAGATATGCTGACAAAAATTCTAAAAATACCTGAAAGACATTCAATATTAACAGGTTGTATTGGGGAGGAGAGGGAGGAGGGACTATCAAAACATGTAACATGCGCGTGGTCAGGTTTTTCGGGACTTGTGGTGCTTTTTTCGGTGCTTTTCCGACCGGTGATGATGGTGATGTTTGGATCGACTTTCTGAGGATGACCGGCTATGAGACCTTGAGTGACGAGAACTAGAAATTAGAACAAGCGAGAAAGTGAGCATCAACTTTCCCAGCCAGCGAAAGGAATGAGATTGGAAGGTCTGGCTTATCGCATAGCAGGTTAGCTTTGAAGAAGGAAGCAAAACTAAAGGCAAGTGGACTCACTGGCCATGGTGTTTCTTCTTTTTCTTCTTGGAAGCCTTCTTGGCTGCCTTGGCCGCAGCGGCCTCTAAAGAGAGAAAGCAAATAGATGACAGGACTGTTTCTGGTGAAGGCAGACTTCTAAAGTTTAGGAAGAGCGGTGGAAGGAGGGCCTGCGCGTGATGCCGCTTATGAATCCTTTGCTGGTTGTTTGGAGGGTTAGGGCTAGCTACCTCATGTAGCGGGTCGGCAGCTACAGAGTTAGGATGCAGTGATTCAGAGCCCAGAAAAACCGCAGGATTTCATGCGAACACAATGCCATTAATTGTTGATTAGGCGTCGAGTCAAAATGAAAGATGAGGTCTAGGGAACCCGATTTGCGTCAAATTCCTGCGAGTCTCTTTGCCCTTGTGGGAACCGGTGACTGTAACTGTTAATGGGTAGAATGCTAAGTGTGCTCTTCGGAGGTAACACGTAAGCACTTATTGCTCATAACGTAGACTCTAAGCGCTGCAATTTTTGTGAATTACCATGCAGGTGTCACCAGCCAGACCGCTGTTAGTGCCGATGCTGAGAAGTGTCTCCAAAATTAAAACATCGGTGTTACTGACAACTCAGGTTGCAGACACAATGCGAATGATCCGGTCTAAGGCGGTTCTTGAACTTTTGGTCTCGGCATTGAGGCCGGCTAGAACAGGCATAATCACAGCCGTATCAAGTACAGGTCTAGGCCCCTCTGTAAAGTGTGCCCGGAACTGGTACT